CTCGAGGTAAAAAGCGACTTCAAGATAGCGGATACCCAGTGGGGTTAATTAAGCGGCAACTAAGACGGGTATTGGTGCCAACACCAAGGCCCAACAAGGAGTGGATCGGAACAGCGGTCATTCCATACAAAACAGGGACATCTGAAGTCATTAGAAGGGTACTGAATACGGCCAACATTAGAGTAGCTTTCCAGGAGAAAACTTTACGCTCGATGTTGGTGCATTTGAAGGATCGCCTTCCGGTTGATAGGACTAGGAACTGTGTATACAAAATAAAATGTAACGACTGTACGAAGGTTTATATAGGTCAGACAGCCAGGGAAATGCACACCAGAATCGGTGAGCATAAGTGTTCCATTAACAAACCACCGAGAAACGCAGAGGAATACCAGGCGTTAGTCAAAGATTCAGCAATGCCAGGGCATGCTCCAGACACTGGGGATGGGATACATTTAGAAAATGTGGACATCCTGAGACGGGGTTTAAGATTCACACCACAGCGACTGGTGGCCGAGGCGGTGGAAATCGCCAAGCCTCCCAGTGTGAATAGAATAGAGGGGGTAGAACTTGCAAACGTGTGGAGAGCGGTCTTAGATCAGCCGAGATGACACGAGGCGGTGTGCAGTTATCAGGGAAATCGCCCGGGTCTAAAAGTACAAAAAAAATCCAAGTAGCGGTAGATCCAATTAACCACCCCACCCCCCATCCCCAAACCAATTGTCCCAGCACCCTTGGACGAACACAGGTGAACGAACAAAATAGATGAACGACGTAGGAACTACCCAGAAAGCTCCCGAAATCACTTTTCTCCAACCATCGAGTAAATGCTAGAAAGAAGAACAGGTTTTAAGAAGAGGCCTGTTACCTAAAACCATAACACAGAAGTGGGCGTGTGAAGCGAACTCACCTGACCTAACAGGTACAAAACGACGTCGAGTCCACCATGTGGGTCAAACGCATGATCGATATTTATTTTTCGTTGGGATATTATATCAATAGGTGCGATTGGAGCTTGATCACCACTTTTACCAATGGCAGGTAAGCCGGTTCGTTGAGAAGTTTCTTCGGGGGCTCCCGAAATCGGATGATACATCAGAAACACGTGAGCTAACTCGCATAACCATTTGGGTGACCTGAAGAGAATCCAGAGGTGTAAAGATCAAGAGGAGGAAAGAGGACTCAGTACTGTAAATTATACGAATTTCAGTACACTAATATATATATATATATATGTTACGTCACAAAACAAACCCCAGGTAATTACACGCTACTTAGCTACCTCTCAAAGAAGTACAGTGAAAAAATGAACTTACTTAGAACCTAAATTGAATAAATGACTCCATATTTCTGTCTGGTCGGAGTCAGAGGTTGGACTGGGAGGTCCAAGATTTTCCGAAGATTCCGTTGGAAGTTGTTCTCGTGGTCGGAACAACACTCGGAGAGGAGGCTCAGTAAGAACAATAAGGAACAAGGAACTCTGGAATAAAAGCAAAACAAAAATTAACGCAAATGAATATGTTTGCTAAGTAGAGAGAAAATTGGAAGGGGAACTAGAAAGGAGACGTGTAATGTGCGGCGATCTCTGGTCTGTTTGCTCCCAAAATTATTTCGATGAGTGACAGGAACTGCTCACTTAGATCTCAGTCCTGCTGATTAAAGTTGATACTGGCCAGTCACGCCAGCCAGTCAGCAAATCGGGAATGCTACCAAGTGCGTGGAAGTCTTTACTTCTCTGTGCAAACATTCAGTTGTTCCACTGCACCCCTCTAACCGTGAAACCGTCAAAATCCAATTTCAAACAGCCTTTTCCACGTAACTGCGTTTTCTGCTTCACAACTCTTCTTTGTTGCTCGCCACAAGTGCGACGAGAATATGATGATACCTTGTAGCTCAGACAAGACTTGGTGACCCGTACGCATCCACCGAAGTATGCAAGTAGCAGCCCTATACGGGACAAAAAATGGAATGTACGCTTTTCATCGTCAGACACTGCTATAGTATCTGAAGATCAACGGAATTAAAGCAATTGGTGAATAAGTCGAAATGACCATTATTTGTCGTCCGAAGGAATGGCACTGTTAGATCAGTCGAAGCAAAATGAAGAGATGAACGCTGGTCAGGGCTCGATTCCCAGGTATCTGACCCTTACTATGAAGGACCAACCTGCGTAAGATGATACTGGAGACCAAATTGGCAGCCACGGATACTAGACTAATACTCCGTCGGTTCTTGTGCGACGTTCCTGCACCCTACTGGAAAGACTAGAATCACAGTCGAAGCGCTCCGTTATTTTCTTCTTATTCCAGATATGTTGGTGTAAGATTATCCGGCTAGCTACAAGGGAGTTAAAGCCTTGGTTAAAGAAGTCATGATCGGGTGCTCTGTTGCGCTAAATTAATGACAATTTGGCGTTAGAATTTTGCCGTCGAGGGAGAGCTGGTGTCAACGTTCAAATCATCCGAGCATACAACAGGTTGAATTGATAGGGCCAGCTGACCGGTTCCTCAGTGTGTTCTGCCACCTGGTCAAGGGAAGGTTCTGTGAATAAATTGAGATTAAACAGTTTAAACCACTGGGCTGAACAGGACTGGTTCGGCTCAATGACGCAGAGAGTAAAGTATACACGCTCAATTCTTGATGCCGCTACAAGCAGCAGACGCATTTGGAGGGGTATTCGGCTCACGGCAGAATCATCTGTTCTTTGAATAAGCTGGCAGTCACGGTCAGCCGCTGGGCATCAGATCACTGTGTTTAGGGCTAACCCTTCCCCATCCGTCCTGGTCGGAATCAGTATCCCATAAATATGGAAATGCTGGTGTCTTGTCGCAGTGTGAGTTATAAATTTACCCCCGTCTCGCAATACGGTAGTATAGGAACCCAATATCGGTCGTCGAACTGCTCCCCATGGGTCTTCCTATCATGGTCAAGCCTTAGGGTACTGAGTTTCAGCTAGCTTAGTCTACAGGATTTTCGCAGCAGTGAAGTCCAAACAGCATATCAAGGCGACAATGGTAAATACAGAAACTGGCTACATTATGAAAGCCCTATAGGGACACCCGGCAGACTGAGGACAGACGCACTTTTCCAGATCGGAATGAATCGGAAGTAAGCGTTCCACACATCAAACAAAAAATAACGAAAGACGGATGTCTAATTCCTCTGAAATACTCAACCGAAAAATCCTCGCGCACCCGTTAAAACTAGAGTGGCACTTACGCATGTTGGTAAAAAAAAACTAGAAGCTGCGCAAAAACAACAAACCTGTGCAAGTAGTCGGGCGGGATGAAACCACCTCCTCGATGAAATTAGGTTGCATGCCTCGAAGAAAAAGGCCCCAGCCCTGTTTTCCCCAACATTCTCATGGAATAGACGGCGTACCAAACTGCGAAGAATGCACCAAGCCATGTTGCTGTACCGATCCCCACACTCCAATGAATCGAAGTGACCGTTCCAATCTGGTCCCAAAAGCGTAAGGATAAGACCGAGCTGGTGCGCATCAAAGATTGGGCTCTGAAACACATCTTCTTTTTCTGCAATGTTAAAAATTGCCAACCGAAAACAGCGTTGATGAAGAACTGCTGTCGACCGTTCAAAAATTTCGTTGAAGGGCAGAATACGTCAACGGGTTCAAACTTCTTGCTGCACCCGTAAGCAAACGGTTTGAAGTGAGTTGATCATCAACGGAATTGTGTGGGAGCTGGTAAAACCACCCGTTGTTTATCAAACGAGGATAAACAATAATACCAAGTCACTTCAACGTGAAGTCCCCATTCTAGATTTTTTCAACCTCTTATTGTGTCCAAAAACCACTATTCTTTTCTTGAAAGTTGGCCCTTTACAATCCTCATGGTTTAGCCGAATAGTTCACGTACCCGCGGGACCCAACAATATGATCGCCCAAAAGTGCACGCAACTGACAGGAAGAAAACAACGCCGCATTCCAGTCTAGGGTACCTTCCGATGATCAGCCCCAACAACTGTTGGAAACACCATTTGTCAGGATGAAAGACTAGTGTATACGTGCAAAACCCTCGATTTTGCGAGTTTCCTGGAGCATACAGCCCCAAAACAGCCACTTGGGTCTTTGACCTCAAATCCATCCAACTAAGTGCTTTACGTGGTTTTCGTGGAGATACCACATTGTAACGTGCCACAGAGTGACAAACACATCTCCCATTTCCAGGAATCTTGTATCGACTCATGTCCGACCCGGTAGTTTCAGGTGGTTAACATATCAATATCATGAGTATGTCTACAAGACAGTGTCGACTGCATTAGTGAGATATTAGAAAGAATGTTAGGTTTGAACAAAAGTCGTACATACATAGGTTCTTCATACAATTGGGAATACTCGATACATTACTCGGAGTTATCTCACGTATAAACCGAACTTACCTTCGAAGAACAATATACACCCGATGGCGACTTTGTGGGGTTGGAAAGGGTGGCCAGAATTATGCCCAAAGTGGAAAAAGCTGCCAGTAGATGGATGAGTCGAGGGGATGGCTGTTTCCAACTTAACTACGGGATATTTCTTAGACTGGCATGATAAAACATCAGTGGAATGTTCGAAGCAACCATCAAAGATCAGGTATACCTGTAAAGGCAAAAAAGTCACTTGATTAGACTTTATTGTAAGCGTGAGAAATGGATAAGATGGGGATAAAGGAGGCTATATATATATATATATATATATATATATTGTCAAATCCCATGTTACTTTCTGCCAGCTCATATACCTGTAATGAGGACGTGTCGCTTATCATTCAAAAACTTTTGTGGCTTTTAAAGGGTGACCACTGTTAGACGAATCTAAGCCACTCATGATTAGAACATCGTCACTTTCATGGCATTTATCGTGGACAATATATGCTTAACAAGGCTGAAACGTCACGAAATAGCCTTGGCAACAAACAGTGGCTTTTGACTTATTTTGTCGAGGCAAGCAGTGTATAGATTATCATGACAGAAGCTGACATGCAATTTTAAGGCTCTTAGTAGGAGATGAAACCTCAGCAGTATAAACGCAGAACCAAGCCACTCTGGCGCGTTTGACGAGTCGATATGGCTGGACCAGCTACGCTGACCAGGTCGTGTATTCTAGGCACCAACCATATGCTTAGTGACCTTGTCGCGTACTGTTTGTTGAAGTCCTTACCCTAATATAACCCAGGAGCGATAGTTCAGATACTGGAAGAGCGGCGTAAAAAGCTCAACTACTTAGCCTTAACTTAATCGCGACTCTTATTCGGCACGCTGAGCCACCTCCTCGTGGTGCCGACTGGACGCCAGCCTGGATGAGCTAAGAGTTCACCAACTCCAGAGAGGACTAACCGCGCTGTTTGGTTTCAATGTGCTGGTTACTTTCGACAATGTACACTACGAATCATCTGGCGCCTCTGAAACATTTCCAACCAGTACACAGGAGAGACTCGTTGGGTTCACATGTGAGGAATGTGGCAAGTGCTGCAAATCGAAAGCTGGCTTGGTAGCGCACAATCGAGTTCACGACAATGAAATTGTTGGTAAGAATATGGTCGCTAACTTGGCCTGCACTGATTGTTCCCGCCTTTTTTCGGCCGAGTTGAAAAGGGTTGGTATGACGATCAACCCCCAAAAAGGCGAAAACAATGGTGATTTGTGGGGATAGAAAACACTGGGCGACCGCGGTCTCAGTCGAACATTTTTGCTTCATCGAGTAACTCACCAACCCTTCGGTTCTGACGGACACCGTGATATATTTGGGCGTCCTCTTTACCTTCAAAGGAAAATGAGTCTGCAACCACTGACAGCAACTGCTCAACCTGCTCGATGAAGTGACATGTGCCCCGTTGAAGCCGTATCAAAGAATGGAGATAATGAAGAACTACCTCATACCGAGGTTGACATTTTCCCTCAAGCTCGATAACGATCAAAGGGTTGGACAATCACATCAGGGAATCTATTCGTGGCTGCCTACGTCTACCGAAGGACAATCCTATTAGCTACATCCACGCCGGCAAGCAACATGGGGGACTTGTATCTCAAGTCTGAGTGAAACCATCCCAATGCAGCGGAGAGCGCGTATGGAAAAGCTTGTCTATTCAGTGCCGAGTACTACGCAATTCGGTCAATGATTCTGCATTTGGTAAGACTGTTAAGGATCTCACCCTTCTCATCCGAGAACCTGCTCGAGTGACATGTGCCCCGTTGAAGCCGTATCAAAGAATGGAGATAATGAAGAACTACCTCATACCGAGGTTGACATTTTCCCTCAAGCTCGATAACGATCAAAGGGTTGGACAATCACATCAGGGAATCTATTCGTGGCTGCCTACGTCTACCGAAGGACAATCCTATTAGCTACATCCACGCCGGCAAGCAACATGGGGGACTTGTATCTCAAGTCTGAGTGAAACCATCCCAATGCAGCGGAGAGCGCGTATGGAAAAGCTTGTCTATTCAGTGCCGAGTACTACGCAATTCGGTCAATGATTCTGCATTTGGTAAGACTGTTAAGGATCTCACCCTTCTCATCCGAGTCCAAGATGCATTCGTAAACACCAAGGAAGAGCTGGTGACTGCTTGGGGTGACAGTCTGTACAAAAGCGTTGATGGTAGCGGTTTACGGGAATTGGTCGCTTTGCCTCTCTCTGGTCGATGGTATTTCTAGAACGAGTGTTTCCTCGAGTATTTATCCGCGGTATCCAGCTCCGATGCAACCTGCTCAGGACGAGAGTTAGAAGCGCTCGACATGGTCATGGTGGCCGGACGATCCTCTGTCGAGGAAACTGTGGCCAACCGGAGAGTTTGGTGCATATTTTGCAGTCCTGCTGGATCATGCATGACGCCAGATGTGCTCGTCATAATTGGGTTGCGAAGGAACTCGCAAAACGTCTCCGTCAACTATGATACAGCGTCTTCGAGGAGTTAAGAGCACCTACTTCGAAGTCCTGCATCAAACCTGACCAGATCGCTGTTCGAGATCGCCGAGCGACTGTATTAGACGTAATCATAATCTCGGATGGACTTGGAGTGACTGTGTAGAATGAGAAGAGGCAGAAGTCTGGCGCTGACGAATATTCCCTCGCCAGCCCTATGTGGTATTTGTTGTGATGATCCCCTCTTGTCGGAGGATCTGATTCCCACAATCTGCCAAGGCTGTTACTGGACTGGAACTTCCTAAGGTCATAGTCGGTGAATTGTGTTTGCTTGCCAATGTGGGCCCTCTGCGTGCTTACGACACTTTTATGTGTGGTACATGGCGTTGAGTGCACATTCTTGCCATTGAATATTATACCATACCCATGGCGACGGACACTGTGCATGGTGTGCGAGTGTTGCCCGTGCTAGCGCTTATCGCGCCCTGAAGAGCATTCAGCATTGTTTATCCTTTCATTGGTTGTTGATCTTTACACGCATGTTTCCATACCAAAAATTCTTACATACGTTGGGATTCACCTTGTCTGACTGGAACTGTTGGTGGCATGACTTCAGATGAGACGCTTCTCTCGTTTTATTCAATATTCTCGTGTAAACCTTCCACATTCATCGCTCGCATTCACTTTTATATCTGTGACCATGCTCTTCAAAAAATAGTGCTGGTACTTCATATCGGCTGCGAGATTCCAGTCAGCGGCTGGAGACATGCACCGACATAATGACACTTGTGCAAATTCGTTCCCCACTAATAGTAGACATTTGCATAATTTTTCTGCTTCATTGACCTCATTTAACAAAGCGATAAAAATATGGTGTCCTGGAATTCTGCACGCTTGTACACAGTTCGTCGTTACCAAAAGATAGTTTAGAAGTATTCTAGCCTACAAACTGCCTGATCGAATAAAGTGGGGTACCAAAGTAAGCATCCAGAAGATCATGGTTTTTTCTGGGAAACGCCACAGTTTATGCTACGAAGATGGGGGTTTGAACAGAAACTGTAAGGGCGCTTACTTTAATAGAACTCTCAGTTTTCTGAGAAATTTGGAAAAGTACATGATGCCAGAGAGGGATTTCGGTGCTTCCGTCGCATGAGAAGGGAAGCCAGGTGCTCCATTCACGGACTAAACACGATGCATCGTCAGATGTCGAAGCGGTGTCGGATGAACACACTCTGTGACTCACACGCAGACAGAACGTTGAGTACGGCACACAAAACCACACCTAGAAAGTCAAAGGTGAGAACCAAATTTTCCATCAAGACAAGACATTGAATGTTTCGGAAGAAAGTGTGATCAGACCTGCAAAACAAAATCCACCTGTACGCCTCGTCCCGAGTGTGAACGTGGGCATCGCACGATCGACCCTGTTCGCTCATGAAGCTCTATCGGAATGAAATGTGTAGTGGGTTGCGTTTTCAGGACCTATCATGTATCTCTTTCACAACAGTAGTTTGTAAAACACTAGGTCAGTGACCTAGTACTTATCGGAGCTGTCTGGAGAATCGTGAGAGTTAAAAACCATAAATTACATGTTTACGAGTAGTCCAATTCCCGACAAACTTGACGCACTAATCCAAGTAAACCAGCTCAGCTAGTTAATTCTGATCAATTTGACATTTCCGTATACTATCCAACTGAGGCGGCTTATTGGTTGAATAAAGCATTCTACAGTTCATTTCTTCCTCTCTATGCGATCTACCACGAGCTCCCGGTCTTTGTTGTTTGCATTGTGAGGACAGGACTCAAAAGCTGGAAGGTCACCAACATGCAGAGCATCTTCCGAATCCACAACCAAATCTCACAACAACGAAATACGGCAAACGAAAAGGCATTATGTCAAAGAATTCGGAAGTCAACAGCCCTAGCAGACAGTCATTGCAGTGATATACTGGCAAAACATAATGAATTTTATCATCTCGAGCATTTGAACACACGTCAGAATGATTGACTCAGTTACTGTGGTAACCGAATTACACAGGTCAGAGGTCGAATCGATCCCGAAAGTCATTGATCGTCAGACATCTCAAAGCCGCACGTCGTGGTAACCCCGACAAGTGTTTCCCAGCCGTGTAAATTGTGACTAATCTACCGGCACTAGATGTGTGAAAGGCTGACTAGGACGTCATGGTTACCATGGCACCAATCATGCGAATGACAATACATAGCCAACATGTGCCTTTTTACGGCTTTGTTTTTTGCCTCACTATGTTACCTTACGTGCTTGAAGTCCGCGACCGAAAATATTTCAAACCGCGACGTACACGTTCTCCCTGTCGCGACAAAGCGAAATCAACGGTGCGCATCATAGGTAACCTAGACAGTCCACTGAGGCTTTTAGGACAAATGCCTTGAATGTAGACTACTGGTTTTCCACTAGGGTCAACTGGCTTTTAGAGAAGCACAAGTAGTCACCTGAAAGCTCTCTTTTATTTCGGAAGGGATTAAATAGCACCAAATCTATTGGGAGAATTTCCTGAGATGCAACGAGTGAATTTACTCGTTCCCCAAGATACTCACTTTCGACCACACTGAGATGTTTGCAGGGGAAATTTTTAGAAACTGTCAAAATGGTTGTCATAACAGAGTTAACTCTATGTGGGCGCTTTTTAAAAATTTCAGAAGCCTTTATTAAAGGCTGTGGGTTGGTTACACTATTAGGCTTACCTGAAACGCCCAGTCTGGAGAACACAATCCAATGTTTTGTGAGAAATGGAGTTGACAAGTGGAAACTGACTCCAGAGTGAAAAGATGTATCAGCTCACCAAGTTCAGCCATATTAACAAAATCCAAGTCACCAACGGAAGGAGTAGCCTAGAAGAAATAAGCAAATGTGGAGAGGTTATATGGATATATTCTTGGTCTTCGCTGAGCGGTCAGTAAACAGGGTATAAATATTCCGTATATGTTAGGAACCATCGGACGTTAAGCATGAGCTTGCCTTTTCCGGTCTAGTGAAGAGACACTTTGTCTGTGACATAATCAGGATAAGAGGGCAGTTAAGTACGGATGCACATGATACAACGTCACAGCAAAGCAACGCAAGAGTGCATGGGCAAGGGATTAAAACCCCATCATTTGGATGTATGGAGTTTTAGATCTGGACATTCAGGGCTAAGGATGAACACAGTAATTTGCACAGGAAGTTGTTCATGTGGATAAGGATCGCTGTGGTTGGCGACCGCGGATTTATGAAAGCAATTGATAGGTTTCCAGTTACTGGGAAGACCAACCTGCGTGGTACATTAGGGGAAAATGACATTAAATGGAAATACCTTAAAATTGGTTGTATATGGAGGCTGGAACCAGAAAGAAGCTAAAATACCCGGCCGGAGGGGATTCGTCAGAGGCGTTGCTGCCGTTGCAAGTGAACCATTGCTGACTTCGCCAGGTACGTTAATCAGAAAGGGTTCAAAATTGGACAGCCATGAAGAAGCGAAATAAAAATGACGAAAGACGCGTGCTGAATCAGGGGCGATCACCGGAGAAGGTGAGAATTGTGAAGTCTTTGAACTGAACGCTGGCCAAGTGATGAAATTTGATGGAGAAAGAGGGTCACACAACAGCGCCCAGTTTGTGACCAACTGTAAAAGCTTTATTGCAACCTGAGAAGTAACGGGTGTGAGGTAGTAACATGAGAAAAGTGAGAATCGTTTGAAAATAACACAAAGAGCACGAATAATTTGCATTAGAGCAAATCTTCATCCACTAAGGCCTTACTCCCCGTTTGAGGTTTACATTTTCACACCAAAAGGTTACACAATAGTCCTCCTACTAAGTGAGTTTGAAAGCAGATATTTCACCACGAAGGGGTTTCCTTACCCTGGATAAAAAGTTATGTCTGTCTTGTGCCACCCAAACGGCTGGAACAATATTTTCTCGACCGACAAGTTCACACCCTGAATGCTTCGCCGGTCAACGCCGACACACTCGCAGGATATTTCAATTTGCTACCATCAGCTGTGGCTTATCTACCGTCTTTTTGTCGTGGGGCCCAACAAGCTTCTCTCGTTTTATTCAATATTCTCGTGTAAACCTTCCACATTCATCGCTCGCATTCACTTTTATATCTGTGACCATGCTCTTCAAAAAATAGTGCTGGTACTTCATATCGGCTGCGAGATTCCAGTCAGCGGCTGGAGACATGCACCGACATAATGACACTTGTGCAAATTCGTTCCCCACTAATAGTAGACATTTGCATAATTTTTCTGCTTCATTGACCTCATTTAACAAAGCGATAAAAATATGGTGTCCTGGAATTCTGCACGCTTGTACACAGTTCGTCGTTACCAAAAGATAGTTTAGAAGTATTCTAGCCTACAAACTGCCTGATCGAATAAAGTGGGGTACCAAAGTAAGCATCCAGAAGATCATGGTTTTTTCTGGGAAACGCACAGTTTATCGCTACGAAGATGGGGGTTTGAACAGAAACTGTAAGGGCGCTTACTTTAATAGAACTCTCAGTTTTCTGAGAAATTTGGAAAAGTACATGATGCCAGAGAGGGATTTCGGTGCTTCCGTCGCATGAGAAGGGAAGCCAGGTGCTCCATTCACGGACTAAACACGATGCATCGTCAGATGTCGAAGCGGTGTCGGATGAACACACTCTGTGACTCACACGCAGACAGAACGTTGAGTACGGCACACAAAACCACACCTAGAAAGTCAAAGGTGAGAACCAAATTTTCCATCAAGACAAGACATTGAATGTTTCGGAAGAAAGTGTGATCAGACCTGCAAAACAAAATCCACCTGTACGCCTCGTCCCGAGTGTGAACGTGGGCATCGCACGATCGACCCTGTTCGCTCATGAAGCTCTATCGGAATGAAATGTGTAGTGGGTTGCGTTTTCAGGACCTATCATGTATCTCTTTCACAACAGTAGTTTGTAAAACACTAGGTCAGTGACCTAGTACTTATCGGAGCTGTCTGGAGAATCGTGAGAGTTAAAAACCATAAATTACATGTTTACGAGTAGTCCAATTCCCGACAAACTTGACGCACTAATCCAAGTAAACCAGCTCAGCTAGTTAATTCTGATCAATTTGACATTTCCGTATACTATCCAACTGAGGCGGCTTATTGGTTGAATAAAGCATTCTACAGTTCATTTCTTCCTCTCTATGCGATCTACCACGAGCTCCCGGTCTTTGTTGTTTGCATTGTGAGGACAGGACTCAAAAGCTGGAAGGTCACCAACATGCAGAGCATCTTCCGAATCCACAACCAAATCTCACAACAACGAAATACGGCAAACGAAAAGGCATTATGTCAAAGAATTCGGAAGTCAACAGCCCTAGCAGACAGTCATTGCAGTGATATACTGGCAAAACATAATGAATTTTATCATCTCGAGCATTTGAACACACGTCAGAATGATTGACTCAGTTACTGTGGTAACCGAATTACACAGGTCAGAGGTCGAATCGATCCCGAAAGTCATTGATCGTCAGACATCTCAAAGCCGCACGTCGTGGTAACCCCGACAAGTGTTTCCCAGCCGTGTAAATTGTGACTAATCTACCGGCACTAGATGTGTGAAAGGCTGACTAGGACGTCATGGTTACCATGGCACCAATCATGCGAATGACAATACATAGCCAACATGTGCCTTTTTACGGCTTTGTTTTTTGCCTCACTATGTTACCTTACGTGCTTGAAGTCCGCGACCGAAAATATTTCAAACCGCGACGTACACGTTCTCCCTGTCGCGACAAAGCGAAATCAACGGTGCGCATCATAGGTAACCTAGACAGTCCACTGAGGCTTTTAGGACAAATGCCTTGAATGTAGACTACTGGTTTTCCACTAGGGTCAACTGGCTTTTAGAGAAGCACAAGTAGTCACCTGAAAGCTCTCTTTTATTTCGGAAGGGATTAAATAGCACCAAATCTATTGGGAGAATTTCCTGAGATGCAACGAGTGAATTTACTCGTTCCCCAAGATACTCACTTTCGACCACACTGAGATGTTTGCAGGGGAAATTTTTAGAAACTGTCAAAATGGTTGTCATAACAGAGTTAACTCTATGTGGGCGCTTTTTAAAAATTTCAGAAGCCTTTATTAAAGGCTGTGGGTTGGTTACACTATTAGGCTTACCTGAAACGCCCAGTCTGGAGAACACAATCCAATGTTTTGTGAGAAATGGAGTTGACAAGTGGAAACTGACTCCAGAGTGAAAAGATGTATCAGCTCACCAAGTTCAGCCATATTAACAAAATCCAAGTCACCAACGGAAGGAGTAGCCTAGAAGAAATAAGCAAATGTGGAGAGGTTATATGGATATATTCTTGGTCTTCGCTGAGCGGTCAGTAAACAGGGTATAAATATTCCGTATATGTTAGGAACCATCGGACGTTAAGCATGAGCTTGCCTTTTCCGGTCTAGTGAAGAGACACTTTGTCTGTGACATAATCAGGATAAGAGGGCAGTTAAGTACGGATGCACATGATACAACGTCACAGCAAAGCAACGCAAGAGTGCATGGGCAAGGGATTAAAACCCCATCATTTGGATGTATGGAGTTTTAGATCTGGACATTCAGGGCTAAGGATGAACACAGTAATTTGCACAGGAAGTTGTTCATGTGGATAAGGATCGCTGTGGTTGGCGACCGCGGATTTATGAAAGCAATTGATAGGTTTCCAGTTACTGGGAAGACCAACCTGCGTGGTACATTAGGGGAAAATGACATTAAATGGAAATACCTTAAAATTGGTTGTATATGGAGGCTGGAACCAGAAAGAAGCTAAAATACCCGGCCGGAGGGGATTCGTCAGAGGCGTTGCTGCCGTTGCAAGTGAACCATTGCTGACTTCGCCAGGTACGTTAATCAGAAAGGGTTCAAAATTGGACAGCCATGAAGAAGCGAAATAAAAATGACGAAAGACGCGTGCTGAATCAGGGGCGATCACCGGAGAAGGTGAGAATTGTGAAGTCTTTGAACTGAACGCTGGCCAAGTGATGAAATTTGATGGAGAAAGAGGGTCACACAACAGCGCCCAGTTTGTGACCAACTGTAAAAGCTTTATTGCAACCTGAGAAGTAACGGGTGTGAGGTAGTAACATGAGAAAAGTGAGAATCGTTTGAAAATAACACAAAGAGCACGAATAATTTGCATTAGAGCAAATCTTCATCCACTAAGGCCTTACTCCCCGTTTGAGGTTTACATTTTCACACCAAAAGGTTACACAATAGTCCTCCTACTAAGTGAGTTTGAAAGCAGATATTTCACCACGAAGGGGTTTCCTTACCCTGGATAAAAAGTTATGTCTGTCTTGTGCCACCCAAACGGCTGGAACAATATTTTCTCGACCGACAAGTTCACACCCTGAATGCTTCGCCGGTCAACGCCGACACACTCGCAGGATATTTCAATTTGCTACCATCAGCTGTGGCTTATCTACCGTCTTTTTGTCGTGGGGCCCAACAACCAATCCGGTTTCGTCGTCCATCGAAGGTCAGTTGGAATGATGCATCCATAAGGCATTAGGTATTACTGGCACATGTCAAACACGAAGCGCTGTACATTGGGTTTCGACTGCATTTTGTTGTTCAAGATACTCAATGCAACTCAGCGACCGAAACGCTAGCTAGGAAGGAGGTGCTTCCAACTCCAGACACTCATTCAGATAACCTGGAAAGAAATGACAAGTACGTCATTGACATCATTAGCTGCAGCGTCTCCCAACAGACACAATGGGGGCAACGCAGACCCCATCATGGAGGGCGAGTAGCATAGACAGTACCCAGACTTTTCATATTCTCTTTCGTACCAACAAGTCACCGACTGGTTACCTCTTTGGTTGCGCCACTTTAAATTGGGCATGGAAAACAGCACTCGTTCCGGCAAACAATAGTTCAGCATTCACAATACATGATCAGTTTCGGAGCTGGACACATTCATCGATTAAATTCCTCGTCGCACAACCGAACGCTCACTTTTCAGTGTCGGATACTCCGACACTAGCCTACATGATTTATGGTTCTGAACCAATGGTTTTCGAAGAAGATATGTCTCACAATCGTACAGCAGAACAGTTTGTAGTGTATTCTGATGCACGTGTCCATTGAGATTCCGTGGCATGTTCAGTGACAACATGTCCACGAAAAAACCTTACACTTTGTAGGTGCGTAGCGCAGGCCAAAAGACTTTGGTCAGAAATACTAGCGTTGTCTCCTCTCTGAAGACGAGAACGATGTAGTTCGTATATTCCAGATCGATAAGGTTTTCGTCAGAAACTATTTGAACACCAGGGTTATGAAGACCTATCAGTGTTTACCTCATTATCTCGTTTATCATTAAATGAAATAGAAATGGAGAGACTGGGAACCCTTGTCTGATACAGCTTTGTGTACGGAAGCTTTTGAGGGACTCGCCGTATACTCTCACGCCCGGAAGTATGGGGATACGGAGAACTCATTATATCCGAACTTCTCCGGCATTTATTTCATGGCAACCATAAAAAGTACAGGTTAATCGAGTCGATTACTAAAACTGCTGGTCACTTAGATACAGGACTTTGTTCTGGGAACTGATAGAGTGTGAAGATTTGGTCAACGCGAAAACTATCAGGCCGGAATCCCGCTCACTGTTTTCAAGTCCATGTTTCACGAGTCACCATAAGACGACAAAAGACAAAAGTCTTGTTACGACTGGGGTCAAGGCAATCCCCTGAATTTACTGCACACACCACGGGCCCCGGTTTTTGAAATGGGAACTACCGCAGATCCCCCCAGATATCTGAGACAGCCTTCATTACCCAGATGCAGTCTGTGGACTTCACTACTATCTCTGAACAATGCGGCTGGGGGGTCATGTGGACCAGGGTATCAGTGGCGTTTCAGGGCGCATATGCAGCGAGAAACCCCAGAAGCAGTAGGGGGTTCCAGGTTAATCGTCTAGGGTTCTGCTTCAGTTGCAAGATTCAAATAAGTGGCAGCGAGTGGCCACGAGAGTTGTTGTTCAAAGAGATCGACGTGTCCTTCTTTGTTGAAGATGGCTGCACCAATTTGATCCGGTTTTCGCATACCGGTCACATGGATAAACTAAAATCGTCATTGGACAATCCCGCTCTCTGCTCCTCTGTCAGTTCTTTCCGTTTCCGTTTCCAACAAGCTTCGTGGTCGTCGCGCACACCTGCTAAGACTTGACACCGGATAACTCAGGCCAAATTACATTCGGGACTAATGGGAATGTTTCTCTGAGATTCAATCAGTGTCCGTTTTGGTTAATATCCAGGGTAGAGCGGACCTGGTAGAGCCATGCCACAGGCCCAACTTTCGGCGCTGTGCAAAGGTGTGGTGATCTCGTTCGAGTAGGAATTGGGAGCTGAAGGTTGAGCAGTTGGAAGACAGTGCAGAAGATGGCTGTAGTAATTTGGTTTAACTTCCGGATCTCAAAGACGACTGATAATCATGTATGAATATTGTCAAAATCGCCCTTCTTTGGCTGCTATTCGAAGGACTACTTGTTTGTTTTCACAGAACTGTTCTCCATTCACTGAATGGAAACCTATCGAAAAAAGGATGTTAACATTACTCTAACTTCAATTAGTGTGGTGATTTTGTGAGTAACTAGGGCCCGGAGAACGGGTTGTAACAGCAATGGTCGATTTCCCACGGACTTTCTTGTCCTATCCCGCAGTGGATGTGAACCTCAGGGGAATCATTGCTTCGGAGTGTTGCGGTTCACAGGCTTCGGTAAATAACGCTTTATAGAACTGACAGCGGGAAAACGCAGGGTTTTTTCGAGAGCACTACGACCACTGACACTCGTGTGTCGACTAGTGGTGTGCGTGTTAATACATGTGCTGCTAGCCAGGGCTGACCTTCGATAACGACTGGTTGTTCAGTCGGACGGTTCCATTAATTGGTCTGTTGTCCTGTGTCCTGACGGGTCGGAATCTAACTATGACCACAATGACGCGACGTCGCTTTCATTAAATCAAACGGCAATATACGAAATTAGCGGAAAACACTCATTTGCAAACAAGTTTTGCATTGCGGGAGACTCACCTGGAACCCAGCTGAATCTCTCGTTTATGATATTTTCAAGTAACTAAATGTGTTGCAACAGGTCGCCTTATGTTTTAGTTGATACGACATTCAAGATATCGCGATGCATGTATAGACATCATAAACAAAACATCATCAATGTCATAAACGAGAGATTCAGCTGGATTCCAGGTGAGTCTCCCGCAATGCCAAATTTGTTTGCAAATGAGCGTATTTCGCTAATTTCATGCAATTTGGCTTCAAATAGAACATGAGGTTGAGGGAAACGCGGGACTGCGCCTACCTGATGGGTCCAAAGAGGGGCAAAACCGGTCATGGGTTGTCATAGAATTTCCAGCAACCTTACGAGTGGCGTATTATATCCAAACGGCAATTCAGTTTTCGTGACGAAGCCACCAATTAGGGACGACTCCATTTGCCCCGCTTACTCTCAGCGGACATCGGGCACAATTGAAAGCGTGATATATCTTGTTGTCAACAGACTAAATAGAGCTGACAAATAAATAGCTCTTAGTGCCGACATGTAGCGCAATTTCATTGGGATTTCTACTTGGTTCGCGTTATCAGTGTAAAAGATGGGAGTCGTCTATTCTCCTATCCAACCGAAGTTTTATTACAGACAAGTGACGTTTTCTTTGTGTACAGAAAGTCTGGGATGATTGCACTCTCCATTTCAACAGCAAATTTGACAGTGGGCAGCAAGCTGAAGGTGCACAGTTCAGGGTGTTCTACCAGTCGATAAACCACAGTCTGGGAAAATTTGCGTCGGGCGTTCCCATGAAATACATAAACGCTACAAAGAAGCTCTGGTCAAACCAGTGATCCATACGATACAATGATCTCAATGAGTGGGCTTATGGTGCGAACCGCTGCTTGCTCATCATAGTGACATTATGGGAATAATAGAAGGTTCAGACAGGAAGCGGAAATAATGCCAATCATGCATATGTAATAACCGATCCGGCGTGTTATGCCACACATTCTGGCTTATTCTGATTGGCATTTGGACCACCTACCTCCCAATTACCGTTCAATTTTACCACCATAAATTAAGGTGTATTTCCTGTTAAGATGCTCTGAATGTTAGCTGAGACTGTGGAGGTTAAGGATACTATAGACTGTGTGGAAGTCTAAAAAATACTTACTGAACTGAAGGAAGCCTTCCGACACCCCACGCAAACAACATTCGTAGAGTTCGTCAATTCATCACGAATGATTGTGATGATTTTTTCCAAATGACTAGGGGAGAGCTGGAGGGAGGTCGATGAACTACCACGACCTAGCAGACCGGCGTGAAGAATGTCGATAATGGCATCACTCAAAGCTGGGCAAGTGAAAGACGGAACGAGTGAATGATTGGGGATTCATTACTGACAAGCGAGCCACAAATATAGGATAAGCTTTCTCAAGGAGTATCCTGCGTCTCATGAAAAACAACGTCTAACTCTGTTGGCAGTGTGATAGGATCTGGGGATTTTGGTATAGATTTCGTCCTGTAAGTGAAGCCAAACTATGCTGAAAAGCCGAGAAGCACTGTACAGCTGTTTCATCTCTATTGGGAATCATCAGCACTGCGCATCTCGCGAAACTCCGGAGAATCTCGAACTCGCGACCTCATGACTAGTGGTTTGAACACTTAAGCACTCGGCCATGAGCGACTGAACAGTAATGTGATTACCTCGCCGCTCATCTTTCAATCACGCGATCCGCATCGCGCGGTTGCACGTGTTGACTGGCTCCTCGAGCAACGACTTTTCAGTTTCACTCATCAGGTAGATTTTATCCTTCCACTGAGTTACTCATAGGTTGTTGGTAGTTTGAAGAAAATTCACCCAGTGAGTGAAACTTCCATCCGAGGGGCTGGTCAACACGTGTGACCACGTGATGCGGATCACGTGATTGAAGGATGAGCGGTGCTATATCCTGTCAAAGTGCGAGTTAATCGCACTGCAGAAGTCGCGACAACAAGCAGCATTACTCGGCCAAGTTCCAACAATCCTAACCATACTGAGCTTACTGCAGTTAGCTGTCCCCATCTATAGACTCATAAGAATATGCACCCAACAGTGGGCTTCTGAACACAAACCGAAGATGTTTGTCACCGAGTCTTTTGTAGGTGCTTGGGCGCTTCAGGGACATGCACAGAGCGCTGTCTCGGTTCCGCCTAGGGATGATTTTTTCTATCGGAAATATGGTAACTTTCCTGACCAACATTAATCTGAAGCCGAAGCTAGTGGAGCTGAGATCAGAGATGTACCAATAGTCAGGGCCTAAACACCGACCCCTGTGTTTGTCCTGGGATCAGCTACTAACCTAATAAGCAAAGGATTGCAAAAATCAGAATTGCAAACATTTAAACCTGTATGGTAACGGTAAATTTTTAGAATGAAAACAGGTAGTTCATCAATATCAAATAATGCAAAGCGAATGCGGATCAATAAATTCAAGGGCCGCAATATGCTTGCAGGATGAGTGGAACCATGTATCGTGGAAGCGTAGAGCTCAGCAAATGACGCTAGACTGTAGATAAGTATGGAAGTCCAAACATGGAAACCAAGAAAACATCTTCTACATACGCGCGCAACAACAGCTACAATTTCGAGCAGGTTTCTGCACAAGATGGCGGTCAGCTGTTAAGCGGCGAGGGAAACGCAGTATCCGCCGTCGTTTTACTGGGTAGTATGGCCGCGATACGTTTGACTGGATCTCACGCAATGGTGTGCAATTTTTCGAAAGCTTACGCTGAAGGGCGTGTAGATATCAGGAAAGCAAGTCACCAAGAGTCACTGAGATTAAAAAGTTTCCAGAGGGAATACGACGATGACGCAGAACTGTCACTGAGCATAATGCAGCAAATATGCGGCAACTGTTCAATTCTTTGAAAACGAGAGGCCTCTGAACGATTCGTTTCTTTTGTTTTGTCCTCTTTAACATGTCATGTACACTAAGGTTAACTTCAGGAATTGTTACTGGGTATCGGGCGTATGTCCACAAAACGTTTGTAGGAAGGGCATTCTGAATTACTAGACACTGTGTTTATCAACATATGTATCCCTACCTGAGAGGTTTTACTGGGGTCATTTTTTCAAATTAACAAAAAAGTGCGGGCTAAACTCACCTGAACATGACACCCGTGCCGGTAAAATAGCAAGTGCGTCTCTTATCAGTAGTTGACGGTCCCGCTGAAAGAGAGTGAATACTGAAGGTGAGATCTTTTCTGAGTAGCAAAGCGAAGGGAGTAGCCTCGTCGAAGAGAGGCTACCAAGATCTAATATCACATGTCGACGCACGGTATCATTATTTCAACGCGAGAATATCTAAAGGATAAGAAAGATAGCAAAGCTCGCATAGCGAAGCTCTCAGAGTGCTCACGGGTGTCGAAAAACGACACACCATAGACTGCCCATGGATGCGGTAATCAAAACGAGGATATCAGTATCACAAAGTAAGAGGTGCGTACGGCCTGCAAATCGAACGATGGCGATACAATCGCACCTTTAGTACAGTTTTTGAGTGATTAGGACCTAAAGTAGAGGTGTTGGACCACTATCAGGAAGGTCAGATTCCCAAAAGCAACCACTGAATGCCCGGAATCTACTGAGACCCTCAGCTACACTAGATGCTGACCACACAGACAACGACCCCTTAATATGCAGCGCGTCACAACCTTGTATCAAAGTCAGACAGTGTCAGTTAGCGTTGAACTAAGTTCATACAGTGTTCCTTTAATAAAATAGCTAGAGGCCGTTGTATTTTTCGCACTCACGCTCTCGCACTCGCTTGTTCTGAATAAAGCTGTTGTGTTCCCTTAGGTGAGTCTTTTTTCCAGCACTAGACACTGGATCGGGAACAGCAGTAAGATACAACCGGTTGGCGAATTAGCAGATATAACAACCACCTTTCGCATCTAAGCGGTTTTGGATTAGGATGTGTGGAGATGGAGGATGGCATGCACGAGTCAGGCTGTCAATTTGCGTCATTTAACGAACAAATGACATCGAATGCATCCGTAATAGTCGCAAAATATTGAAGGGATACGAAGGGCGAATCAATAACATTGTTCACCATGCCAAGGAAGTGAGCTTTGGCGACATGGACAAAACGGTACCTGCAGGATGGTGACACTTTCACAGAGGTATTCACCTAAACAGAAACCTTCATAAACCAAAGTTCAGGGAAGCTTTGCTGAATTTTTAAAAGAAGATATGCTTCACTGATAGTATCCTTCCAAGGAGAACTGTTTTTAGCTGGTTCCGCGGAACCTTCTTAGAATGGTGGGATTGGAACGCACAGCTTTTTAACGGTCCATTCAAGGTGGTGTTTTTGGGAGAGGCAAATTTCACCCCAATTCTTTCTAGCTTTTTTGGTGAAACACGGGGGACTTTATTCCTACCATGGCTACCCTTTTCTAGAATCGACAATTTAACAAAGCACACCTTGAATCCACACCACTCATAAAAATTATTCGGTTTGAACTTAGTAGGCCGGCTTCGGACGTCGTTTCAGACGGAAGGTCACTTCAACACAATGGGAGGCCCGTTGGGCGGCGAGTGCAACTTACCTCTAGTTGTTTAGAACTGCAGTTCTGAACGGCTAAAAATAATCTTGATGATAACTGCGTTGCGCAACGTGTCCAAAGGTCGACATCGTCGGGATGGTGAACAATCTCATCCACATCGCTCATGGAAGCAATTGGACGAGCTTCAGGCGCAAAGCGGATCAACACGCGCAAAAGCAGGATCAAAAGTCGTGGGGAGCCGTAGAAAGCTGTGGTTTCCGGTACTGTTATGAGAAGGAAACAAAAAAACGTGGGGGGGGGAGACGATGGAAACAAACACCTAACAAGTAGAAAAAACAATCTTAGTATTGAAACACAAGGTAGATCGATTACCGACAGAAGTAAATTACAAGCTAGTAACGGACCACCTTGAAACTGTCCTGTTGCCGTACCAAACGTGTCCATTATTTGCTTAAATCAGTCATGCAAACCGACGTTGCGGTGGAGTTTCACGTTGTGTGACCTAACCACAATTTTCACCATCGAACATGTGAAATTAGCTACCACATAAAGAAACTCCGGGTGGGGTGACGCGTTTGGAGTACTCCGTGGGACGCAGCAAGGAGCACTAAATCCATAATACAAAATACCTTATCACTATCCTAGAGTCACCACTTTTCATCGCAAACGAGTGAAAGGTTACAACTGTCTCCGCAAGATTAGCGAACTAGACGAACAGAACGAAAACGTGCCACTGGCGGGGGTAGTTTGTTAACTTGCGTACAATGACCCAAGAGTTACGATCGACTACGTAAGCGTAATACGACTGTTTTCCAAAGCCTATAGATTCAGCAAGTGTCATGTGGACAACAAATGCCTGTACCAATCACGAGGCTCAGTTGGTTTTCAGTATGGTGTTTTAATGAGTGATTGAATGTGATGTTATCCTTTACTTGAAACTAGGAATTCTGGTTTGAAGACCTATCCTACATATAAATTCATTCACTTTTGAGAGTTCGCATCATATATGAATAGAATTTAGTTCTCTATAGAATGCAAAAAAGGTCCATCTATCAATAGATTACCCAATGAAGCTTTTTGTCTTGTAGGTGGTAAAATTAGGACCCGAACTCAGGCAACCTCAACAAAAAAGCTGCGTTTGGATAGACAACTAGCTGTGCTTGTCATCAGTCTGGGGGGGGCATAGATAGTTCGAAAACAGTCTAGAAAAGAATAGTTCAGTTTAACGGCTTTTCAGCCCACGACCCGTACACTGGTACCAGCTGTTTAAGCTTTCTTTACCGAATGTGACAATCCGTCACCGAAAACCAAGAAAGAGGAAAACACTGGAATACCAGGTAGTATCTTAGCTCAGTGGTCTGTTTCCGTCATTATGCGATGCAATTTATCGACAGCTTCTTGTTCGTATGTGTTCTACTATTACCAGTGCAACGGCATACACTACTACTGAGACGTCTGATGGAAGGTGAAGTTCAGTACGGAACCTGTGAAACTGCTTCACTGTGTTCGTTTACAATTGTGCAATAGTCAATAAATATCCATGAAAATTCAAGAAGAAGCGCGAGAATGTTCAGCTTTTGAAAGCTGTGCATATGAGAAGTTTGCTTTCTTATCCAATAGCTTGCAACTGCTTAGTTGGTGTTTTCTAATAAACAACTTCTCCTTCACCAGTATAGCAACTCTTTTGGGGTTAATCACGATGTCGGTAGAATAAATATCATGAAAATTCAAGAAGAAGCGCGAGAATGTTCAGCTTTTGAAAGCTGTGCATATGAGAAGTTTGCTTTCTTATCCAATAGCTTGCAACTGCTTAGTTGGTGTTTTCTAATAAACAACTTCTCCTTCACCAGTATAGCAACTCTTTTGGGGTTAATCACGATGTCGGTAGAGCATCTGGAAAAGTCTCACTTGAACGTAACATCAGGTCTTCCAAGTACAATACGATTCGTCAAGGCAGGGTCAAGGGTAGAGCATACACAAGAGTAGAGTGCATACTGCCGCGGTTCGATATGTCGTACTTTATTGATCAGAGATGTGGCCGCCGCGCGCAGGCATTCGAAGGCCCCACGTGACCGACCAGTGGTGTCTACAAAAAGTTGCGCGGGTCTGGTGGGAAAACCGGATCGGTCATGGCGAGATGTGCCGCATGGTTTTCAGGAGGCGTAACTCCTTCGATAGACCAGCTGTTACACTTCATAGCTTATATACTTTGTAATCCAGAGGACCGTTCTCTCCCTAGAATCTTTTTCGGACGCTCATCCATCGGTAAGAGGTGGTCCGGGGGTGGACAGTTGGTAACGGAACATAAAATTTCCTACCACTCAACTCACAACTCACCAGTCATCAACCCGCGATGATGTAAACCAGTGGTCAGTGATCCTGACAGACACGGCTGTCTCACCTAGCTAACAATAATGCTGAATCAAAGTTATTGTCACGAAAATGTAGCCTACTCAGTCTATGCCACAGCGGACAAACGGAACCATTTAACGCCTGGCTGTCCCCCCTTGTTCTTCTCATTTTTGGTGAACGAAACTGAAACAGATGGAACCATTGTACGTCAGTATAATCATCATCAGTCAGTTGCAGCGCGACTCACATGAAACTCCAGGGAGTCTGGAATCCGCGGTATCCCGGCTAGTAGTTTGAGTGCTCAACCGTTATGAAATGAACAACTAAGATTGGTCACCCAGTTAGAAGACACGGAAAAAGACGGTTGGCTGCCAGCGAGACCCAAGTGGCATCCAGGGGGGTGCTACGAGATGGTCTGGAGAATAGCCTAGCGACTGGTTTAATCGATTTTTGTCACATGACCAAAGCAGAACCGGCGCCCGTAAGAACTGTTTCTAACAACAAAATACCTGACCTTGTAATCATATCACGACTGCTTCGACTGTAGTCAAGCGACGTCGTTGGATTGATATCGGCAATCTATCAGGTACTCGGAAGATAACGTGAAACGGCTCGTCCGGATTGATTATGCGACCGATGCAACGTTCGTTTGTTCACACGTGACAATCCAGATGCATTCAGCGTGCGCAGGTAGAGTAGTGGTAACACGCTCGTCTCACTGGAGGCATGCTCAAGAACATGCACTGTTGATGAGCTCTGATGAGAACCAAACTGCCAACAGATCGCCTTCATAGGGTAAATTCAGGTAGACTGGCTTCTTTGAAAAGGTTGTGATAGACGGTTGAACAGGAAGTTCAGACATTTTCTTGGCTACAAGCTCTCTGGATAATCGTTGGCTCTGTGTAATTTAGTAGTGTGCTTCGGTTTAGAGTCCAGTGCACTTACAGATCAGACTCGCCTCGCTCTGTTCGTTGAAGTGGAAATCAGGGTTCGTATCTGCATGCGAGCACAGTGTCTCCGCCTTGCTCAGCGCGGAGACACTTGTTCCGCTCATATATGCTGCTATCCAGATCAGCAAGTTATTGATCCAGCAGTTAAATCATGTTTTTCGTTTTCAAAATATACATGTCATCGCTTAATCCAGCGACTATGCGGTTTGTTGTTTCATTTCAACTAAGATAGCCACCAGTCACATTCCAAACTCGCGACCGACGCTTGAGCATTATTCAGCCGTATCGGAATGGTGCAAGTCAACCGATGTGATTGCAGTGCAATACAATTCCTGTTTTTTGATCCCACTGGCTGTCCCATTTTCACGCCAGTATCCTGTGTTTACATGCTTGGAAAGGAAACATTCAAAAATCATCTCAGTGGTTTGTTTCACATGATGAGGACCAATCAGTGAACCAAGCGTAAAAGCAGAGCGATTGGTTTTCCTGGTTTTGAAGTTTTAATTAATTAGTTCAGCCGAATTCGAAACGGTATAGATTCCATGAGGTTTTGCTCCACTGGGACCAATCGAGTGAACTGGGTGACAAAATCAGTTGAACAGCCAGGTCCTGAGTGTGATTCAGTGGTCCAAACCGGATGAACTATTGTTTGTTCATTCAGCGATCTTGATTATATCTAACACTTCAATCTATCAAATTGTTGCCATGTCTGTCCACCCAGTTAGACGTTAGGGTCTTCCCTGGTCATCCACAGATAACTTTGTGGAGAAAACAAACCTTATTATGCGTCGTTTGTACAAATCGATTTTCCGTTGAGCGTTCCCTCCACGGACATTTCACTACTTGTTCAAACACAGTAATATATACTTTTTGTTTATTTGGTTATCTAGAACCATTCTGAACAACATGCCCAGAACAGGTGCGCATCTGTTAAAACCTATGATGGATACGAGGTAGAAAATTGAGAATACTAACAGAGAGAGGTAGGAGGCTATTTTCTCATTTGCATATTCAGCCAGACTGCACAAACACTGCATATCAGATGAAGCGCGAGTGTTCGAGTTCTCACGAAAAGAGTGCTGTACGGGTAAGTTGAATCGACGGGCCAAATAAATCTGACGAATGGCCACACGAAGATGTCTTAGTTATGGACTTTTCACTAGTCGATGATTAACGCAACTGAAGGCGGCAACCTCGCGACATCCCGTAATTGTGTGTGTACAGTTCAACGATCCGTGTTCTTCTCCACGAAAGTGGAATTTCTCTGTCAACCATGAAGCAAGGGTTCGTGATTGTGGTTGACCGGAGCAGAAGAGAAGACTTAAGATAGTAATGGGGAAAATGAGGAGTATAAGTAGTAATAGGGTTTTCCTTATAAACACTACCGTATTCAGTGGCCAAGGTGCGTCATGAGTGTGTACGGGTGCAGACGCAAACTTGGACATGATTCCTCAACCAAATCTTGACGGCGATGGTTGACGTAAGGCTTCAGAAAAGAGAGAGAGCAGATCGCGAAACGGAATCACATGATAAACCCAGTAACTTTGGTCGCGAAACTGGTGCACCAGGACCGAAATCAAAGTGAAATCACGTGCATGACAACGGTCACACTAACCATCGGACATTTATTGAGTTAGCTGGTCTAACTACCTGGTCTATCAGGAGGAAAACAAGTAAATGAATAAAAGTAGCCTAGAAAGAAAGTAGCGACACTATATGTAAGCAGATAAATAGGTGAAATTTATCTCGCGTGGAAAAGTGCGGTTGCTGTTTGAAAACTTTTGCTGCCACGTACTCTAAACTCGTCGTAATCCAAGCCACTAAAATGGAATCCCGATATTTCCGGGGTTGTGAGTAAACGAAGCAGATGGAGATTGACAATATAAGTAAGGGAATCAACAACGTACAACCTCCCCTGAAAACTTGGGCACAAGTTTCTTGTTATGATATAGCCTCAGTATTTGCTTGGAAGCAGTAATTGTAGGTAGAATGACTAGCGAAAGTGACAAGAAATGAAACAAGTCGTTTGCAACTTACATGAAGCAGGCAACATAGACGAGAGTGAAGGTAAGATTTCACCCGCCAAAAGGGAGCTAGCATTGGGCAAAACCTGGATGGTGGAACAAAACCTCTCGCTGAAAAGATCCATTAGAAGTGGAGTAGATCCATGGTCGGTTTCGGTTAGTACGCCCTAAGAATTCAGTAAATAAATGGGCAATCACGAATAAACAAGGATAAACTCCACAGACAATTTACCAGCTAATTCTGATACAGTGTGCTGAAAAGTGAGTTAGCTTATATGCAGGTGAAACAAGTGAGACCAATTCTGATATAAACAGATAGTCTTGACTCAAAACTCAGGTCCGTTGGCAAACACTGAACATCTGTCGCTTGTACTCATAGGCAAGATAGGTGGATTCTAAGGCTATCGCAAGTTGGCAGCATCCAGAACTAGTTTTAAGTGATTGTGATGCCCGTAGGATCACTGTCGATAACACCCTTGTGTCAGTTGTCCTTTTTCCTGTGAATGAAAAAGACTAATCACGCAAGGACAGAAGAGTGAGTGTTCAAAAGGATTCCAAGTGTTCCGCAACTACTTGAATGTAATCCGAAAATATTGTCGAGCAGGCATCAAGAACCGTGCCGTTAAGTGAAATGGAAATCCTCTGAGGGGCTAATCTGTCGAGACATCTGGCGAACCAGCCAGAAGTGCGGACCTGTCCAAAGTGATAATTCAGGCTCTCCAGTGTGCGTTGTCTGAAGCAACCCTGCCTCGTGATAGACCACATTGGTCGGGACAGCAAGCGAAAGACCAACATTGGAGTTGCAGAGTAAAGCAGGTGGAGATGACCCCAACCTACAATGTCATTGTGGGCAAAGCAACTTTAAGCAATCTTATAGATAGAAGCAGTTTGAGGAAGCTCAAATGGAGCCAGTTGTAACTCAGATGAGCAGCGAATACGACAAAAACAAGTAAACCTCCATATCCCTTCACAGACATCGTTGCGAGCTCAATTCAATTTCTATGCTGAATCTGGACGAACTTCCGAAAGTCGGTTCGAAAACTATGAGGACATGCTTGGACGTAACTGGAGAAGTCGCTCTCTGTTGCCTAGGCGCCAAGCATCGACTCCGAATAGATCGCCGAGTTGTGATTCCATGGGGCTCAGACAACCGACTTGGGCACTCATGTAGCCCACAACGATAACAATGTCAGTGTTTCCTGCTTAACGAATGAGCCCGGACAACTCTCGATATCCTTATCAGTGTCCTTATCCTTATCAGTGTCAGAGGCGTAATCCATTGGAGCAGACAAAAAGCTCACGTGGATAGCTAAGTATCTGCACCTCAGAAGTTTCGCACCTTTCTGACAAAACCTCGTACAAGTGAAAACCCTGCTCTACAAACTCAACCACATTGCAACAGAGTACAGTGCGAAACAAACCGACGAATATTGTGTCTGAAAACAGTTTTTCGCTGAGATATACTGTGAGATATTCAAAACTAAAAGGAGCACGTGATTTATTTTCAATTATCACAGGAAAAATAACTTGTCTCTGCTTATCATTCGAAGGTGATGATATTTTACTCTTCACTGAACGCAAGCACTCAGGTGAACACATAGCACTACCAGCCCGGTGTTTGTCGAGGAAACTACACACCTTTCAACCCCTCCAAAGAAATGTCATGTACGCCTTATCGGTAAACCAAAGGTTATCTATCAAGTTGATATCAAGCAATTATATCGATAGAAAATGAGTATCTTTAGAAACAACCTAAATAAATCTAATTATTTGAGAATGGAACTGTTAGGAGTGTCAATACAAACGGACAGCGATACCAGGGGGCCCTACAACAGACTCCAGTACCATTTTCCTTACCCAAAATGAATGGCTATCGTGCACTGCCGAGGTTGTCACTATTAACCTTCGTTTATACGAGAACAATATACGACTACAGCGCCGGCGCTACCAGATTTAGTGTATGCTACATGCTCCTTTTAGAGCTGGTCATGAATTTCACATTGCTATTTATTTCAGTCTATGAAAGAGGCATTTACTGGTCTACTTTATATACCACCATATTTCAACTAATGTTCTGGTCACAAGATCACACCGCTGATCGATTTAGATATCAACCGATGTCAGTCAGTCACGTTATTTGCTGGTTTACGCGTGTTTACCAGCCACACTTCTCCGAACCTATCACATGAGGCAGCGCCTTCGAATGTTTGTGACTATGCATCCGCTGTTCTTTCATCCGAGATGGCATCACAGGGGTAACTGACTAGTTGTGATGGAAGTGTCGCTGCGCAAGATCCCATTCATTCCCATTGGATCTTTATGCCTTTACCCCTATGGATGGTTTACTTACGCACCGGTAACCCAGCTGAAGAATGGGACCGTTTTCCGATTAAGCACAAAACCGCTATAGATCATGGGAAAAAGCACAGGAAATATACGAGTCAAACAACGCCCAATTGCAAACCAAGGTTGTCTGTGGTAAGCCGCAACCGGATGTTAAGATACGGGAGCCAGAGGTGTCTGTTGTTGAGCCAGGAAAGCGCATAGAGGGTATCAGGTTGAAAATCGCACGTTGACGCATGAGACGACTGCCAGTCAAATAGTGACGGAACAAAGTGTACGGATGGCTAGGGTAGGCACAGCAGACGGTTTCGCTGTCATTTGGGTATAAAACTCTGCCATTGTGAGACCGTTTAGTTGGCAGAGTGCATAAGTTACGTGCATGAACAATAGGCACAAGGTCATCCACTGCCGAGCGACGCATACACCAGTATGGACTAGCTACTGGACATGAGTATGCGTACGGTTTTGGATAGGTAATACCTCTGTTTCACCAACTCCTATAGCTCTCCGAAGCTTCACTGTCCAAACGAAGTCGGCAAGGATGATAGTGGTCAAAATTTCGCGTACAGTTAGCGATTCAGATGTGCTTGGTTGTCGACATTTCAAGAGAGGAAATTATATCAGCATCGTAGTGTTAAACTTACCTCGGCGTGAGCTTCCGAAAGTATGAACAACGATGGCCAGAGAAGTGCACTTATTTGACTGCACCACTTAGCGAATTCCTCTGTCCTCAAACATTCAAGATGTTCACATTCTTTGTTTATCACAAGTTGAAGTGCTGTTAGTGAAAGACTGACAACGGTGTGTTCCGACGATGCGGTTCTTAAGTGCAACTTGTTCATGAATTGCCACTTAACGAAACTGATCACGGGTGCTGATCGTCCCGAGTATTCGTACTGTGCTGCAACTATCAACCGACAGAGGTTGTGCCAAATCAGTTCTGCGGACTTGTTTGGTAATTCCTGACTGCAGGACTGAAAGGAGACAAGCGGAACCGATGACAGCTAGACAACAATGACTCCGTGCAGTTGATCAAGTTCAGGCATCCATGTGAGCTAACACGGGAAGGGTAACCTAGGTAAACAAAACGTACCTGTAGATACGCCATAGACAGCTGGACGACACATTCGGTTAATCGTTCCCAAAGATAATTCGAACGCTTCGGTTTTGCCAACGTTATCTGCCTCAGTAGGAGACCAGAGAAATGCCTGAAAAGGGCAAGTGTGCCATAAGAAAATAAGTATTAAGTAAAAAGACTATAGATGCTCTCAACTAAGCCAACTCTACATCGTGCTTAATAAGACAACCAGAAAAACTCCACTGATTGGTTCTTTTCACTTGTGCTTTATAGTTCATTGCAACAAATATCTGTATGAATACGACTTCATGACCAAATACTAATCGCTTCGGCCAAGGTTAGGACACCGAAGAAAAAGTTCAGTAACCACTGAGGGAAATCGAACCACAGCCAGTCCTTGTGGCGCGCGGAACTTATAAGATGATAGAAACACAAAACTTGTTAGTATACCCTGAAGTACCGGCGCATTTCCGCGAATGAGGAACATAGTTAATGCAATTATTTGCAGAGAGCAATAAGGGTAGATATACCAATTTGTTGTTCATGATAGAAGCATGAACAACTACATTCGGACCTTATGTGATTCACCAGTCTGAGACTTCGACCTGCGCTGCAGACCCCTCCCCCAAACAGCCATCTGCGGCTTGCGGTCGGAAGACTAACCGACAACGGCACGTTGATTTGTACGTTAATCTACTCATCTGTACTTTGTACCAAAATCAAACAAAGAAGCCTTCCTGACTATACACACTCCTTTCCTGCATAATGTAACCTACCGCCACTGTATATTTCAGATGAACTGAATTTAGTGTCAGATCGATGCACCAAGTTAGGTATACCTGACTTTGAAGATCTATGTACATTATTATCACCAAAAAACATTCCGTACTCTTCCGCCTCTACCGCATACAATGACCTCACTTATTTAAACTGTACAGTTGAAACACATGGATAGATTCAAGTGAGGTTCAGGGCGTCACTGGTTTCTCGCCAACCTACGCCAAGTGGGTTGTTGGGGCGAGGTCAGCAGTTAAGCAAAATTAAGTGAACTCTACAACTCCCACAACCATCTACATCCAATCAAAAACTGTCCAGCAGGATTTTCACGCGTCCGTAGCGCTATCTGACCGGAAATTCGGATGCGTACAGCGTGCACTGGTGTAGGGGTAAAACACTCGCCTTAGATGTCCAGAGTTCAAACCAGGGCACAGCCAAGGATGTGCACTGCTCTTGAGCTCTAATTAGAGTGAAACTCGAATCCACGCTTTGGCGTGAAATTACCAGAATTATTACGCCAGGACGAGAGGAAGGCCGTGCGAACAAGAGCAATGTAGCCATCAATTCTATAAATCCCGCCACCACCTACAGATAAAAATTTAGCGATCATATTAATGCAATCAGAATCTAAGTAAGTCTCACGAAAATGCTTGTTGTGCTCATATGGCAACCTATTTTGAGAAAGCGGTCTTTATTTACTTACCCCCTTTTCTAAGTAAAGAAAAGTTACTTCATTACAAAAATGGGCAAATCGACGGCGGATATGCTGTGTTCGTCACACCTTGAGGGGTGAAAAATACGTGACACTGATCGTTAATAATGGTGTAATTTATCAGTTGTACAGCGCTTTCTTTGATGCTCCCTCATAATACATGTCCTAACCACATTAGCCTAAATTCTTCGATGCTTCAGTGATTTTTATTCGTTACCAAGTTCTCAATTGCGCACTTTGTTGCTTATACGTTCAAGCCAGTTGTCTGTCGCTATGGTAAGAACTTTGAGGTCCTCACTTGGAAGTAGCAAGGTCTCATACGCGCAAAGTAAGGATGTTCCTATAGTTGCCTTGCAGCTTCAGTTGAATTCGTTTCTGATGTCCCAGTGTTGTTTTTCTGTCACAGTAGAATCATGGTTTGCTTAGTTGCCAAAAATATGCAAACCAAAAAACACCCTCAAGCTCCTTGACCTGGGAGATTCAAAGAGATAAATATGGATTCAAAATCCTCAAGCAAGACCACCTGTTGAAGGTTCAAAACGCATGGCGAAACAAGGTGCCCTTTAGGGCAGATTATGAGAACTGATGACTATCGATCATCAGGACGTTTACTAAAGACTCCATGTCGAATCCTAGGTACCTAGTCCTCTAGATTGTATCCATCACGGTTGTTCAATGACAAAGAGAGACAAGGCAGCTATGGAAAGTCGCATTGTTTTTGAAAAACTGTTGGAGAGTTCATTGTAACTCTTACGCGAACACAGGCTGTAATGAAGGGCCCGAATTACGTTTTCGAACTTCCAGGGTGTTCACTTTTATCCAATATAAAAGGTTAACTGCAACTGAAAGCCTCCTTAGAGCCAAGAAAAAGCGCGGTGGCTGGTTCAAACACGACGCAACGTGGTGTGATCATCGAACCCTTACATTCTGCCAGACAATGTCGAATTCGCATCCCACGTGCTAGAGCCAGGCATCACAACGAGTAGCCGCGTTATGACAGTCGTAAAGTCTACACCTCTATGGTTGGAACGGTCGCATCATGCTATTTAGGATGAAAGTATGGCGACTAGTTGACGCCAGTTACATGGAGCTCGTTCTTGTTTCCAAATGAGCCCAAACGAATCGGTCACAACAGAATAAAGGGACTCAATACCGGTTTTGGATAATGCTCACAAAAGCCTGTCCGGTCGTACAGCACAGAGCTTTTTCAAGACAGACCATGAGAAGGTATCTAAAGTGGGTCAGTTTGGGCAGGTAGAATGGAAGACATAGTGCAGTATAGTCTGCCGATCCACTCTCAAACTATGGCTTTGGTTGTTTATGTAGGGTAACAGTAGTGGGTGCCATTCGAAAACGACTGACTTGAAAACCATTAGCGCCAAAACCACTCAAGTAATAGGTAATTCCATAGTGCGACCATCAGAAACAATAATAGTTCATTTCATGGTGGTACGCTTACATAGGCACATGACTGCATAAAGATGGGATCGGGGAAACTCCGTTCGACGAAATTATGCACCTCACAGTTTCACAGTAAAAAGGCAGAACTGAAACATATTAGATGCAGCTTTCGATTGACACTAGGCGAGACTGCCTCGAGAAGCACGACGTTTTTCAAGTTTAAGGAGAATAAGAAGCACAACTTCTCAGTAGCAGGTAGGTAGTTTATGCCCGGTTTTAGACATGAGCACGAGTCGACAAGTTTACGTTTCCAAACCAAACAAACAAAGGAGCACACCAAAAGCGGTTTTGTTTAGTTTATCTTTCCACCGAATGCTTTGTTCTTACAAGGGTTAAACCAAGGGACAAACCAACTGGTGACAGAGATAGTCGGTTGTTTTTCCGTTTCGGTCAATTGGTAGAACACTCGTCAACATATTTCACTCAATAAAGTTTGTGTACACTTCAGCTGTACATAGAATGCTACAGACGTACTATTAAAGGGGTGTACCATCCGAAAAGCGATTTTGGACGGTAGTCAGGTTATTCACTCTTAGAGAAGTGCACTCCGCTTGGTCAAAAATACCACGTTTGGCTAGCTGGTCACCTGATGGTCTATTAGATCAGGAGTTGAGGATTCGCTGGAAATGCCTTCGTACTTCGGGAATGGACCAGTCCCCCTACCTCTGGAGACTTCTGGTCATCCGTGTTTTGCCGTCCATATATAGGCTTCCTTTGAACGGACGTCTAACCGAGTCTAGCTGAATAACGACGCGTCTCGTATCAGTGAGTGATAGTGGCCGACCTAGTTGCTGAGTATGTGCTCGGAAAAATGACTGGAGGATCTGGCGTCGTGCATGGTCCTCCTCCAAGTTGCGATCAACATCCTCCAAGCGGGCCACTCGCACAGTACTGCACAGCGAGATTTGATGAGTTTTCATAACTCGTGGTTCACAAATCTTTCGTATGACTAAATAAGGAGCTTACCCCTAAGGTTTACCAAGGCACTTGACGACGAAAGTATGGTGCGATTGTGTTCCAGAATTATCGACCGTTAAGATCCCAACAGCGCCATCGGCAGCTGGAGGCGGCATGATTAAGTTAATTTCGTTGCTCGACAGTGCAGATGTGCCAGATAGCACAAAGGCACACACTGTGTATAAAATGCGATATTCCCGGGGACAACCACTGGTCGATGTTCATCATCATCATCATCATTGCGTCTTGCAACTAGACTTTTTGTGGTTACTTCATCCTGTGAGTAAATCCAATCTATGCTGAAAAGCCGAGAAGCACTGTACAGCTGTTTCATCCTTATTGGGAATCATCAGCAGTGCGCATCTCACCAAACTCCGAATAGTGTTCAAACTACTAGCCAGGAGGTCGCGGGTTCGAGACTCGTCGGAGTTTGGTGAGATGCGCACTGCTCATGATTCCCAATAAGGATGAAACAGCTGTACAGTGCTTCTCGGCTTTTCAGCATAGATTGGATTTACTCACAGGATGAAGTAACCACAAAAAGTCTAGTTGCAAGACGCAATGATGATGATGATGATGAACATCGACCAGTGGTTGTCCCCGGGAATATCGCATTTTATACACAGTGTGTGCCTTTGTGCTATCTGGCACATCTGCACTGTCGAGCAACGAAATTAACTTAATCATGCCGCCTCCAGCTGCCGATGGCGCTGTTGGGATCTTAACGGTCGATAATTCTGGAACACAATCGCACCATACTTTCGTCGTCAAGTGCCTTGGTAAACCTTAGGGGTAAGCTCCTTATTTAGTCATACGAAAGATTTGTGAACCACGAGTTATGAAAACTCATCAAATCTCGCTGTGCAGTACTGTGCGAGTGGCCCGCTTGGAGGATGTTGATCGCAACTTGGAGGAGGACCATGCACGACGCCAGATCCTCCAGTCATTTTTCCGAGCACATACTCAGCAACTAGGTCGGCCACTATCACTCACTGATACGAGACGCGTATCTGAGTGTCCAAAGATTGATTTGCAGTTGCGGACACATTTCGTTGAAACTATGGTAGTGGAGGCGTATTTCTAACACCGTACAGAAGTGGGGACGCCATTCTTATTGATAGAATTGTAAAACCTTGTTGGCAAGATCAACAAAGCGAACGAATATATCACTGGAAGAGTGAAGTATAGTGTACGTCCGACTCTGGCGTACATGTATCCTGTCAAGCTGGGTGTCGCATGGCAATCGTAGGCAACGATGAGACTTCTTGTTGATTATGGCGGCCGTGACGACCCTACCGACTGCCAGTCTTTTCGGTGGATGGTTGAGCAGTTTGCAATTGAAACCGCTTATCCTACTTCTTTAGCCATTGCCTGTCACCACTTCCCGCAATCAATCCTTAAGCTGTGGACCAACTGTCGTCCATGCTGGTATGGACATCCACCAGAACCGAGTTTATGTAGTTATTCCCATACCTCTGACAATTGTCTTTTATCAACTCATTATTGAGTCGAAGTGCAATTTTCTACGCTGAAACAGGGAAACGGGCCCTGAGGCGCGCATGCGCCAGAACATGATCAGCCTATAAATGTTCAAAAATGGGTGGTCGTCTTAAAAACATGGCATCTGATCGCTCAAACGGTTGCTATTTGAAGAACGCCAACTGACACGATGTGTTGGGAAGTTGCACTTGCGATAAGCAGGTTTGTAATGGGCGTTTGACCAAAAGATCGTGAAGCTGTGTATTTGTTATTCCAAGGACTTATCTTCCATGTAGGTTATGGCTCGCTTGGATCGTTTAGACTGAGAACACTTCTCCTAGGGTATGGGTTTGTACGGTACCAATAGTACACATAAATTATGCCCCACAGACGCTATGCCCAGTGCTGTTGTCTAGAGAAAACAGCTTATCTGCTTGAAACTGCCTGTGAATGGTCACGTCCGAATAACTGAGCCCAGAAAGTTTGCTAAGTACAGTCTAACGGTCTTGGATTGCTCCACAAGTGCTTTCTGAACCCTTGTTTACGCCTGTTTCCAGTTTTTGAACCTTACTTGTGAGATGACACGGAATACATGCATAAATATCAAACGACGTTGCCTTTGTTACATTCTGTCTCGTTCGGTTCGTTTCTTCACCGCTTCGGGTTGAGTTAAAGTACATCGGTGCTGGTTTAGTTTGTTCATGGTAGATATTCAACTGTCGTCTTTAGCACTGCTATCTCCCTCAATTTATCACTTGAGTTAAAACGACTGCAACTTATCAAGGGCACTAGCTTTTAGTATCACGTGAGACAAGGTCAAAAGGGGTAGGTTGGAACTAAGAAGTATAGTACAGGTCCGCGTAGAGTGATAATTCGAGATGATTGCGTGGACTGAGTTGCTCGCCTGCCAATGCACCTACCAATCCTAATTAGTAGACGAGCTTAGTGAGGTACACCTAGCTGTAAAGCACACGCTACTCAGGTAACTGGAGTTCGTGTGTACTGTGTGGGAATAAGGGAAGCTTGGACATTATGTAGGTATAGAATGAACCACAAAATATTCTTAGAAAGCTTACTCAATACTGTCGCTGAGAAAATCCAACGACTCGTGAACCACAGAGGCCAGTTGATAGTCGCTTGTAGCATCCAAGCATTTCAGACTGGCGACCGCTAGGTCCATCGACTTCGGTGAGAACGACTCGCTTTGATCCAGTGCATAAACCCATAATTTAAGGAAAGCTGCAAAGCACTCCGGCCCATTGTCCTTAGATGGGGAGAAGTGATTCGGGTGTATACACAAAGGTAACACAAGGATTTGAAAAAGGCAACCGAAAAACACCTCACGAGTTGAATTTGTTAACAGACTTTCAATGTGTTCAGCAAAGTTCTTGAGCCGTGATATTAGCAGGGCTGAGCAATCACCTTTTACGATTTGCTCAACCAAATCAGAAAAGAAATCACGGAGAAAAGCTAGAAAACAGGAAGGGCTAGCCTTGTTCCAGAGAAATGCCATCATAGGTACAAAATGAGGGTTGCTTTTGTAGCCGAAGTAGTACGTGAGAGCTGACCAAATCTGGCTAAATAGGGCTGATTGATAGAGAGAGAAGCAAAAAGAAACATCGTTTAACAAGATAGATCTAATAGAGTGCTTATGTATAATATCGACAACAAATTTTGCAAGGGAAGGAGGTATTGTACCAGTGCCAGTGTCAGCGCCACAACAAGAAGCGACACGCCGACCAATCAGATCAGCCAACTCGTGTACACAAACTTCATACATAGTCCAATATTTCGAGTCACCAGCAAGTTTAGCAAATAGAAGGCACCAGGTGGAGTTCCATTCGGTTGGCTGAATGTCGAAAAGTCCAACATGAAGAATTCGTAGAATCCCTCGCTGCAACTGAGTAGCTATAAAGATCCAGGTACAATCGTCAGCGTTTCGGACGATCCGACCGACCACACGATGAATTGGACACAGATCGAAATAAGTGAGAACACGGCTGGGACGATTGAAACGATTTGATGTGATCAGGTTCACAAGAAGTATGTACACGTCCAAAATGTGCAAAGCTGCGCTACAAAAGAATCCGGAAAAATAAGTTGGCAGCGGAAAAAATGTGGGGGATATTTACTTAAGAACTAAACTCAGCTTGCGGTAAGTTCTAAGGTAGTCATCATACATAGCAACATACCAACTGTGGATTCTGGCGCTCAACTGTCACATAACCAAAGAGGAAGGTTTGAGTTAGAAACACTAGGAAAGGGGACGGACGCGGACTCATTTCAGAAAGTCTTAGGCTTCTAGGCAAAGAGGTATCTACACCTCCAAGAAGCACTGAAGTACACACCAGAGCAAAACATTAGAGCGCAAATTTTGGGAACATTACCGAACACAAAACCAGCAAACAACAAGGTAAACTTTAACGAGGCCGTTTGGTTAAGAAGTCCTAGCGTGCTGGGATCGTTTACATGCCACATGCTGCTCAAGGAGTGCCAAAACACAGATCACATAAGATCCTACCGCGACAGATTTGACGTTGCCGTGTTTAGTCACGTGCTACCTCATGGTCTGTCCCTCAACCACAAATCCTTCGCCAAGCTTGATTCAAGCGCGTACGCGCGACGGAGGTCAAGCGCACTCGAGAGCTAAGTCGATAGAGTACTCGTCCATTAAACGGGAGATTGACGGTTCTGGTAGGTCCGCAGCTGCGTCCCCTCTCATGTCCGGAATTCTCATTTCAAGAGTTCAAGTAGAACATAAGGTTGACGGAAACTCGGGGACTGCGCCCACCTGATGAGCCCCAAGAAAGGCGGAACCGGCCGTGGGCTGTCGAGGAGTTTTCAGCAACCCTGTGAGTAGTTTCCTTAATAAAACCCCTTCCTCTTTCTAACGCGGAAACATCGGTGTAGGATTTGGAAGTCTGATGGCCCAAAACGAATATTGAACCAAGGGACCGATATTTTAGTTAGTATAGACAGTGCGGATGCATGGTCACCAAGCAAAAGTGTTACGAATACAGCTCAATGTCCCGGATGCCACTTCGAAGCCCAGGCCTCAGAGTCCTTTGAAGTGTGTATTTCACGTTGGTATACATGGGAAAATTAAACAGGAAGGAAGAAGCACCTGATCAACCCCAATAATTGTGGGAAATTTTCTGGTAGTTCGTTGCAGACTTTGGAGAGATTGGAATTATGGAGATAAAGGGAACTAGGGACATTTATGCAAGAAGCAAGTATTTCTTTTCGGTTCCACAATGGACCTCCTTCGAAAACAGAGCTTCAGTTGTACCATTCTCAACTTCCAAACTAGACTAGGGACCCGTAAGGATCGATTTCCTCTGCTAAAAGAGATCAAGGTTCAAAGGGCGTGTATGGATTCCCTACATTGGGAGATCAAGCGGGAGCATGGCTACTAACAATACACACACGTTCGTTGAGAACGTGGTTGAAGTTCCTAAACATGAATGTCAACTGCAGGAACCTCGTAAACTGGAGCGATCCCCAAAAAACAGTCATCTCCGAAGACAGGCTAGTATTTTGAAGAGAGCACAGTGGCATTCCATATCACCTACAAGTTAATGGATAGACGATAGCCTATTTGGATGGCCAATTGGGATACATACAACAATAAAAAGTGGAACCCACCATCTTGACTGCAGTAAATTTCGAAAATCAGCTGGGTAATACATTCGTACCCATTACCGAGATATTTTTGGATTTTTTTATTGGCCAGGTGTTTTTCAACTTTTCAGCTTATCAACCCTTTAGAGTGGACAGTGCGAGAAAAAACAACTACCTCAATATGTACATAATGCATGTACATAATGAACATTAAAACCAGAATTGTTAAAAAATGTCTGGTGACGTTAAATGTTGCGCCGTAGTGCCCACAAGGAGGACCGTCCCGAATGGAGGCCATTCTCATCAAGAACATGTATCATTCCACAAAAAACGTATGATTTAATGTGCGGTTTTGCCGAAGAAAGACCGCGCTCATGAGAATTTCATCAGTTTATTCTAAAACGATATCTCGCATACCATGCATGTTAGCTGATAGTAGTTAGCCAGAAAGGGTGTAAATTCATGCTCTTAATATTCCACACTACTGAATTGCACTGACAGGACATCTAGTCCAATTATTCTGAAATAAGGACTACAATTGTCTAAGAATCAAACGCCAGGGCGTATGTCAGAAAAACTTCAGAAATTACTATGGGACGGGTTCGGTGCTCAATGAGATTGCCCAGGTGAGCACATCACACTGTCAAGATTTAGACTAACACCAGTAGGTGTTTGAATAATCCACTGCGGTAAGATGAGAAACATGTAAATGCAATCGGTTACCAGACGCAAGGGATAATGTGTTGCCAATGTGCCACGAGTTTGTTCAGCTATTTTTTCACCGCAATAGAAACAACAAAATTATGATGGGATTATTAAGGTCCGTTCCGAGTAAAAACTAGCACGGGAGTAAGACACAAGTCAAATGAGCGTTTTGTAAACAGCGTTAGTGCTTTGGCCATAAGCAGAGGTAGACCAACAACTCAAGGACTGCAACACACAGACTGATTGCAAAAAGTTAAGATACAGGTGGACGGTGTTCTGCATGATGATGAAATAAGGCCGTCCTGATGTGGCAACTCAAGGAGGAATTTTGAGGAACAAAACTAGTTTACGATCGATCACAAATATTCAAGATTGTAAATAAGTCAGTCACCACGTGATCATGTGATTTGGACTTCGTGATTGAACCATGAGTGGCACTATATCCTGTCTAAATGTGAATCAATCACACTGCTGATCAGCCGTTCGTGTTCAAACTACCAGACGGAAGGGCGCCGTTTCGAAACTCCATTGAGATGTGCAGTGTCTCACGGCTTTTCAGCAAAGATTGGCTCGATTTATGGGACCAAATCTCGATATGAAAGTTGTAACGAATCCGTGTGGAAAGTGAAGATAAACAGTAAGGAAACGGCTGCTTCTCGAAGAAGACCAGATTAGTTAACAAGAATCTCCGATATGTATAGAAAGAAGCAGTTATCAACTCCTAAGTGAACTGCCTCACCAACAGCCTGGGATACTTTGTCAGGGACTGAAGTCTGGATGGCGATTTTATTAGGTAATCAGATAAGGCTAGTGGGGGATGCGCTGTCAGACATTTCTTTCCAGTGAAGACACACAAGTCCGACACAAGTTTGTCGGACCTTCAAAAGTATATTCTGTTGAAACAGTCGCGCTGTAGTATATTCTTACACGGCCCACACACTTCGACGGCTACTGTACCACTGTGCTAGTCTATCATATATTGAAATCCACTTCAGTTTCCCTAAGTAGATAGTCTTAAGAGGTTCACTGAGAAAATGTGAAACTTGAAATAATGAGAAGTGTGCGTGGAAGGTTAGTTATATCGAGTGACTTAAATGAACTCAGGAACACGCTTACCTAAGGTTGGTATACAAATGGGTTCTTATCTGGCAGTCAAAGAGTGAGAGAATCATTTGGGTCACTTCTGAAATGCCAACCATTATAGCGCGTAAACTGGAATGAAACGAAACTGATTGGTCCTCTGTGGTGAGACGCACTGCCATCAAGACGCGAAGCAAACGTTTGTGGACACAATTCGATGCTGGCGTGCATTCGGATGAAAGTGGAGTGATCCGTGGCGTAGCATTCGGCCCCAATAGGGAAAATTCCAGGGAATCTAACGAGAGGCTTCTGTAATAATGGAGAGAGATTCAAGAACGGAGTATAATGTAACTCATAACCATACAATATGGTAACGTAGTTCGCAGTGACAGGAGTGATCCCGTAGCATTCGGCCCCAATAGGGAAAATTCCAGGGAATCTAACGAGAGGCTTCTGTAATAATGGAGAGAGATTCAAGAACGAACGATAATGTAACTCATAACCATACAATATGGTAACGTAGTTCGCAGTGACAGAACTTGACATACAAGATGATGGATGCAAGATATATATATATA